TGATGAGCTTCATTAAAGAGTTGGGTAAGGAGCAAGACAATTCTAAATTGTTCAGTAATAGTCAGAGTGCTATACATCTGGAAAAGAATGCAGCCTTTCATTCGAGGACCAAGCATATCGACATAATGTATCACTTTATTCGCTCTTTGTTGGAGGATGGGCAGTTTACTTTGGAGAAGATTCACACAAGGAATAATCCGGCAAACATGTTCACGAAAGTGGTTACTGTGGAGAAGTTGAAGTCTTGTTCAACTTCTGTGGGTCTCTCAGCTTGAGGACAGGAGGAAGAGTTGCAGGGATGAGAGATTCTTTTGGGAGGATTGCGGTTTGATGTTAGTGTTTAAACTAGTCTCCAAGTGGGAGAATTGTTGGGTCGTTGTGGAGTCTAGTTTGTATATTAATCCGGATGATGACCCAACCCGAAATAATGTTACGTGGTTTTTAATGAGAAATTTTATGAAGCTTTGTCCATGGAGCGAAAGCTTGGGCCGATAGGGCCTATTTTGTAGCCCGGTGCGTAGGACATATAAAAGACCAGTACTTTGGTGATTAGGGTTTTATCGACGTGTATAGCCGCTCTCTGTAATCCTTTCTCTCAATAGTGAAACCCTGCAACTTCGTGAATGTAGGCAAATTATCGAACCACGTAAAATCTTTGTGTCTTGTTCTTTCTTGTTTCTTATTGTTTTATGTTTTTGATTTGTTCTTCGATTGTGTGTGTTTGTCTGTGAATTTAAAGCGTATTAAATCCCAACACTTGTATTGGTTCATAAAATGTAGGTGAGATCAATATCGAAATAGCAAGTAAAGACTTTGAAGGCTCCACTTCAATCGACATGCAAGAACAATTTGAGGCCTGTGCAGGCACTCAATGGACGACAAATTGAGCTTTATAATGAGCTTCATTAGTTAAAACCAATATTAGTATGGTTATCTTAAATAATAAGTTATGATCAATGACAAAAAAGAGTTGTGCCAAAGAACAATATGTTCTTACTTAATTACTATTGTGAAAATTTACATTTTCTAGTTAATGAGTTTTTCATTGAGAGTGTTATGTTCAACAAGATCCACAACACAACTTGAAAATGATAAGAGCTGATAACATGAATTATAGAGGAATGAGGTTAACGTCAAACACGCATAATTTGATTTTGACACCATTTAACCAGTATTGTATGATTTTTCTTTTCATTTATTGACCTAGTATTCTATGGATTGTTGTAGAATTAAATTATTTTTTATTTGATTTTGCTAGGAAGTGGATCAAGTAGATTTTAATTTATGGAGGACCCAAATGGTGAATTTGGTTTAGGGAGGGAGTTTTAATCTTGGACTTTCAAGTTAATGGACTTTTTTTTTTTTTTGAGACGGGTTGTCTAGGTTTGCTCTAACTAAGTGTGGGGGAATTTGATAAGAGCATAATATTTAATATTTTTAATTTCTTTATATTTAGTTTTATGACATATTTTCTGTTTAAGTGAGCTGATTAATATATTTATTGAATTAGGGAAGCATTGAAGGTAAAAGAATAGATATGGAATATATTGTACAATTTTCAGCTTTTAGGTCGTTTCGATCTATGGAGCTTCAATTGAGGTTTGGATGGCGTTAGAGTTTCAGAATGAGAAAGTGGTCTTCATAAAATTTTTAGAGTACGTCTTAAGATTTTCATAAAGGTATGGTTTTTGAAAATCCGAGTTCGTTTGGGCCTACAAACATTGTTTCAAAGTCAGGCCTGGAAAGATGATCAGAATCCTAATTGGAGTTGGATTCTTGTCCGACCCAGTAAACTTCAATCGGTCATAACTTACGTTTCCAAAGTCCAAATCAGGTGATTCAAAAGCCAAAACTTATCTACACATCCAAGGCTACAATGTTCATCAAGAGCCCAAATCAATATGCAATCGTTATTGGATAGAAAAATAGCTCACAAGTTCCAGCACGATTCTGTGATTTCTGTCAATCTGTTTTGATAAAGAATACCTATAATGTAGGGATTTGAGTTGTACACGTCTTGGGAAGTGTCATATGTTTTCTATATGTATCTATGGTTGCCTGGAATGAGAGGAGGGGCAGAGCAAGGAAGAGAGACACAACAATTTTTATACAAACTTGGGTTTACCTAAGCAATAAGCAGCTGATTTCCTTTGTTCAGTTGAAGGTAGTCTAAGGTGTTATATGGTTTTGTGAGACTTAGTTTAATAATTTAATATCAAATTCTATTTGAATGATATGATTCTCTGATTTATTGATGAGATTACATAGTTCTTTTGATTAAGGTGCACACTAATTGATGTTCTATGTGATGAATGCTAGATTAAGTTCTTGATCCGTAATTGTCTTGAAACTTGATTGTAGTAGCAATCAGATTATACAGTTGTTTTCCAAACTTTTGTTATTAATTTGAGGGAATTATAAATTAGATTAATAGTTCTTCACTGGTGGAGATTTGTTATTCAATCTTAGTTGTTCTTAAGGTTGTTATTAGTAGAAGGATGATTCTTAATACCGAATTGATTAATAACAAGATTAATATGAGTACTAGACTTGTATTAATGTTTATAGAGATGAAGAAGGTCGTTTAGCATCTAAATGATCTTTGAACTAAGCTTTTGATATGAGTTGATTGTTTGTGTGTCTATGATCAAATCCATAACCAACAGTTGAATTGTCTTTGACCCGACGTTTAATTAATGATTCTTCTTAACGATTTGGTAATCTGTATTTTTGACAAACAAACCCCCCTTTTTATTTACATATTATTGCACTTGTTACCAGTTAAGTTAATTTATTTCTCTGTGGTATTGACCCTTGCTTGCCACTGCTATATTTGTAGTATCGAGGTTAGGAATTAATTTTGGTTCCAAATTTTGATAAGAGCATAATATTTAATATTATGAGCAGTATTAGGGATTCCAAATCAACACGAATCATTGGATTAGTTTGTTTTATTGAAAAAAGTTAATGTGATCTACTCATCCAACGGTCAATACTCATTTCAAATACAATTTGGAATACATAATATTTTCCATCAAAATTAAAGCATTTTATGATAAACTTTTGATTGCTTTGGAGTTGAGATGAACTCCAAATTAAATACACAAGACAAAGCCTTAGAAACATTAAATTGAATATGGTGTTTGTGTCAATCCAAAGTTAGGGCAAGTAAAAATAGGGATCAGTGACATAGCCACATGAGGAACAGGAGGGGCACGGGCCCACCCTGAAATTTTTTAAAAAAAATATTATTTATATATATTGAAAATTATTAAAAACATACTTAAGTGCGTTCACTTTATTATTTTTTATTCTATCAATTAGTATAGTCATATAACTAAATAATTATGAACTTTTGGACACACTTTAAATTCTTTATGGACACGTCTAAATAAATCTTTGAGATGTGAGAATCATTTCTAAAGTTATAGATATTATGAAAACTAGGTTAAATAACATAATAAAGTGATCAATGGCTAATAGTTTGATTAGTTATATAGAGAAAAATTATACTATTTTCATGCAGTTAGTTGCATTTGTTACAAAGGGTTATAATTAGCCTATTTTTGCTTTTTATTTGTATACTCTATATTTATTGACTTTTGACATTTTTTTGTATTTTATGAATCTTTAAATATCAAATACAATGCCGTAAATTTAAATATATTATTTTATTTTTATTGATTGGGAGAAAAAATAAATAATTTTTTGAGTAAAGTGTCCATCCTAAACAGTATTTCTAACTTTGTCAAGTGGCAAATGGGTGGGTTGGGTTGGTTATGGGTTCGATTAATTAAATTGGATTTGGCTAAAATAAATTCAATCCATTTTTCACTCACATAGTAAATGGGTTGAGTTTATAACGGGTTGGATTAAATCAATTAACCCATAAAATAATTAAAATTCTTAATAGACACATTAGTACAACAAAACACACACACACACATTAGTAGTATACCAAAATACAAATATACACACACTAAAATACACACAAACTAATACACTAAAACATACACACATATGGTAGCACAAAAACTAAAACACATTTAATAAAAAAAAATACACACATAATGGGTCAAGGTCGATTGTGGGCAATGGGTTAGTCTGCGGGTCATGGGTTAACACATGGGTTATGGGTCAATCCATGAGTTGTGAGTCGTGGGTCAACTTGTGGGTTGATCCGTGGGTCATTGGTGGTGTATTAGTGTGTGTGTTGTTGGTGTACTAGTGTGTGTATATTTTTATGTATTAATGTATATGTATGTATTATTTGGTGTAATAGTGTATGTATTTTTTGGTATATTAGTATATTTATTTAATTTTATTACTTGTGTTATTTAATAAATAGATAAATACTAAATCTAATGGGTATCAATTTGTAATTCATATTAACCCGCTTAATTAAAATAAATCATATTACACAATCCATTTAGAATCCATATTAATTAGAGTAATGATATGCTGAACAAATTTTGGGACTAAATTTGGAGCCCAAATAATATGGCAGTATATTATTTTGAGTTTTTATTGAGCCCAAATGACATGACATCAAATAAAAAAGTTCAAGTCAGCTGTCATGTCATTTGTGCTCTAAATTTGGTCCTAAAATTTGATCAGTGTAGTATTATCATATTAATTAATATAGGTAGCCAACGTATTTATTTATGGGCAAATTGAGCGGATTAATGGGTAATAGGTTAAGATTGTCATCTCTATCTGTCATTGACAAGAATGAACTATAAATTTAGATGTTCTGAGTTTAAATTTTGATAATTCCTTAGAGTCAAGCTATGAATAATTTATTTCTCTTGAATGTTCTAATCTTAACGTAAAACTAAAAGGAAAAGAAAGGAATATGGTGTGCATAAATAGAGACACCAGATAAAGCTAAAGCCGTATGCTGTGGTTTATGTTGAGAAGTACAAAACCCACATATATATTTAATTTTTCTTCTTCAACACTTCGTGGCAAAGTATCTCTGCATTCATCTATGTTTGTAAATGGGAAAGGAGGAAACAGGGTTCATCTTCAAAACTGTTCATGCATTAATGGCAGCTCGAGTCTCCTTCTTCGCCGTTGCAATTGCACTTCTGCTCATGAACGTCCATGCCACAACTGAGAATCGTATGCTCTCTCTCTCTCTCTCACTCACACACACACACGCAGTTCAAGTTGGGTTGTTGATCACCATTTATTTCAAAAGTTTAACCTGATCGAAAGAGATGTAACATTAGTAGTTATCTATACTATCCATATACATTTTTTGATATATATCCATATGATTTGCTTCTGCTCTACATAGAAGATGATTTGAAAAACCCACTACTATATACGGTTATTAGTAATAAATAAACCCGAATATATATAGGCTTGTCACTGTAAACTTCAAAGAAATGCAAAGGATCGTCTCTTATACATCTTCCCTGAAACTAAATTCATAGTTCCATCCTGATTGAAGCCGAGAGGAAAACTTATTATCACCTTCATAAAACATTTTCTATACTCCTGCTAGCGTAATGACTACTAGAGATGTTAATGATTTTCTTGTGTCTACTGTTTGTTACTATTGAATTTTGAGTAAAAATGGGAGAGTATAGGGTTTTAATGTCCTCTCGCTTTATTCGTAGTTTATCACTATTACAGTTAATTTATAGTTATTTTTCCAGGTAAAAGTCCTCACTATTTCATGACTCTCTTCACAAACAACTGTTATTAACTGTTCTCAACCACCTGTAGGCTGTAACTCTCATAACTACTTAGATTTATCTATTATATAATTTATTATCACTTTTTTTTTTACTTCTTCATATTTGCAGATTGGTAATGTTTGTGCACAACCCTAGTATATTATGAAAGATATTAAGTTGGTATACATTCATTGTAATATTAGTTTTGTTGCAACTAAGAAAATTGTAGCATTTTGCAACTGATAATTTTTGAGGTTCGGAGTTTTTCCTATAGTTTTAAGAGGTTTTAGTTTGCATGCACCGTAATAATCAACAACTATTTCTATTCATTTGACATACAATTTTTCATAGTTCGTAAAAGTTAATTGATGGTGTAACGTTTTGTTCAACTTTTTGCCCAAATAGCATTGTTCAAGTTTTTGTCCAAATAGCATTGTTGTTTATTCAAAACACATAGAAGAAGTTAAAGATAGTTGCATGCAATACTCAATACCTATTTCTATTCGTTTCACGTATAATATTTCATTATTGGTAAAAGTTGAGTTTTGGTGTGATGTTTTCAAATTTTTGCCTAAATAGCATTGTTGTTTGGTCAAAACACACAAAAGAAGTTAAAGATTTAATTAAGTACGTCCCAACTTTTTCCCCACCCCTTCCCAAGAAAACACTATGTGGCCATCACCTTGTTCTTTATAGTGCCTATTAGAGAGGCCCTATCCACTAGTCCTCTAATTATAGCACAATAAAAAACCTAAAGATTCGAAAAAAAAAAAAAAAAAGGACAAGGTGATGGCCACATAGTGTTTTCATGTCATTATACACATTAGATCCAAGTGCCTTCAACATTAGCTGTGCACCATACTTCCATTGTCTTATTAGGTTTGTTGAATGATCCAAGCAACTCTCGACCTTGGTTTTGACTTGATTCAGTTTTAACTCATTCGTGTTTATTTTAAAATTATGAAATAAGTTGAATTTGATTAGTCTTATAGTCCGTTTTGTAACTTAGTCGAATTCAAGCAACTTGTGACTTGACCCGAATTTAAGCAACACGTGACTTTATTCAAAATAATTTTAACTTTCTTGCCAAAAAACTCTACCCAAAAAGTACATAACTCCAAAATTTATTTCAAAATTGCAATGGATCACAATTTATATACTTCACCATCTCTTTTCTAGTGAATTTTTGAAAATATAGCTTATTGAGTTCAATTTTATGCCCGACTTTATAAATTTTGTCTATTATTAAGTTGCATAGTGTATATCTTGAAAATTTTTACTAAGAAATTAAACTCAATTTCCTTCCAAATACGTGCAAACTTTTGTCGAGCCAAGTTTTAGTATGAATCTAAGTTCGGTCACTCACAATCAAGCCGAATCCGATCGAGTTTGATAAGCTTAGCCCGATTATCTTTGGTATCCCCCACCACCAAAAGGCACCAAAATCAAAAGAAAACGATAACACAAGAACTAAAGAAAGGAAAAAAATCAACATCAAATAGGTCATTCTAGAATTAAAACGTCTCACAGAGATAAAAATGCAATATCAGCAATTTTAGTGATCCCAAATCAATAGATCATTGGATTAGTAGATCTTATTGAAAAAAGTTAATGTGATACACTCATCCAATTGTCAATACTCATTTCAAATCTAGTTCGGAATACATAGTATTTTCCATCAAAATTGAAGCATTTTATGACAAGCTTTTGATTGCTTTGGAGTTGAGATGAGCTCGAGATTAATTACACAAGACAAAGCCTTAGAAACAGCAAACAGAATATGGTGTTTGTGTTAATCCAAAGATAGATCAAGTGATAACAGAGATCAGTAACGAAACCATATAAGGATCAGGAGGGGCACAGGCCCACCCTGAATTTTAAAAAAAAACATTATTTGTGTATATGTAAAATTATTATAAATATACTTAAGTGCGTTCACTCTATTATTTTTTATTCTATCAATTAGTATAGTCATATAACTAAATAATTATGACATTTTAGACGCACTTTAAACTCTTTATAGATACATTTAGATGAATCTTTGACATGTCAAACTCATTTTTAAAGCTATAGGTATTATGAAAACTAGGTTAAATAACATAGTGAAGTGATCAGTGACTAATAGCTTAATTAGTTATATAGAAAAAAATTATAGTATCTTTTATGCAGTTAGTTTCATTTGTTACGAAGGGTTGTAATTAGCCTCTTTTTTTTTATTTGTATACATTATATTTATCGACGTTTGACAATTTTTGAATTTTATGAGTCTTTAAATATCAAATACAATGCCGTAAATTTAAATATATTATTTTATTTTTACTGATTGGGAGAAAAAAAATTAAAATTTTTAAGTAAAGTGCCCATCTTAGATAAAATTTCTGGCTCTGCCACTGACAGGGATGGGTTGAGGTTAGGTCATGACGGATTTATCCTCTATAAATACTTTAGTCTCTACGTAAATGATCTGTCTTTGACTAGATCGAAAAAAAAATTAATCAAGATGCATGTAAATTGTCCGAACATTCCAACGGTTAAACTAAAAAGAAAAGAAAAGAATATGGTCTGTATAAACAGAAAAACCCAGATAAAGCTAAAGGGGTATTCCAAAAGTTGCTGTCGTTCATGTCGAGAACTACAAAACCCATATATATATATATATATTTCATCTTTCTTCATCAACACTTGGTGGTAAAGTATCTCTTCATTCATCTTTGTTTGTAATTGGGGAAGGGGGAAATAGTGTTCATCTTCAAAACTGTACATGCATTAATGGCCGCTCGAGTCGCCTTCTTTGTAGTTGCAATTTCACTTCTGCTCATGAATATCCATGCCACAACTGCGAATGGTATTCTCTCTCTCTCTCTCTCTCTCTCTCTCTCAAGTTGGGTTGTTGATCACCATTAGTTTCAAAAGCTTAAGCTGGTCGGGAGAGATGTAACATTAGTAGTTATCTAATACTATCCGTATACATTTTTTGACATATATCCATTAGATTTGCATCTGCTCTACATAGAAGACGATTTGAAAAACCCTTACTATATACCGTTGTTAGTAATAAATAAACCAAAATATATATAGGCCTGTCCCTGTAAACTTTTAAGAAATGCAATGGATCGTCTCCTATACATCTTCCCTCAAACTAAATTCATAGTTCCATCCTGATTGAAACCGAGATGAAAACTTATTATCCCCTTCATAAAACATTTTGTATACTCCTGTTAGCGTAATGACTACTAGAGATCTTAATGATTTTCTTGTGTCTACTGTTTTTTTTTTATCAACCTTGTGTCTACTGTTTGTTACTGTTGAATTTTGATTACAAAAGGGAGAGTATAGGGTTTTAATGCCCTCTCGCTTTATTAGTAGTTTATCACTATAAACAGTTAAGTTATAGTTATTTTTCCTGGCAAAAGAACTCACTATTTCATGACTCTCTTCACAATCAACTGTTACTAACTGTTCTTAACCACCTATAGGCTATAACTCTCATCACTACTAAGATTTATGTATTACATAATTTATTCTCACCTTTTCTTTTTCTTCTTCTACTTCGTATTTGGAGATGGGTAATGTTTGTGCACAACCCTAGTATATTATGAAAGATATTAAGTTGGTATACATTCATTGAAATAGTAGTTTTGTTGCAACTAAAAAATTGTTGCATCTTGCAACTAATAAATTTTTGAGGTTCGGAGTTTTTCTAACAGTGTTCAGGGGTTTTAGTTTGCGTGCAACGTAATAATCAACAACTATTTCTATTCATAGTTCGTAAAAGTTAATTTTGGGTGTGACATTTTGTTCAAGTTTTTGTCCAAATAGCATTGTTGTATATTCAAAACACACACAAGAAATTAAAGATAGTTGCACGCAATATTCAATACCTATTTCTATTCGTTTCATGTATAATTTTTCATTGTTCGTAAAAATTGTGTTTTGGTGTGATGTTGTTTTCAAATTTTTGCCTAAATAGCATTGTTGTTTGTTCAAAACACACAAAAGAAGTTAAAGATTTAATTAGGTACGTCCCAACTTTTTCCCCACCCCCCTCCCAAGAATACACTATGTGGCCATCACCTTGTTCTTTATAGTGCCTGTTAGGGAGGCCCTATCCATTAGTCATCTAATTATAGCACAATAAAAAACATAAATATTCAAAAAAAAAAAAAGAAACAATTATAAGGATCCTTTTTCTTTTTTCTTTTTTTTTGTCTTGAGGAAAAAGAGCTAACACATTGAATTGCATTTTTCTAAATTACCATTTTATTAATTTTTAGATTTTTTATTTTTTGTTTTCATTTGCTCATTCCTCCGGACTTAATCACACATATAATAGTACGCGTGAAAATATACATGACTATAAGTATTACAGAAACTAGAAATTTATCTAGAGAAGGACTAAACAAATACAATTACACAGTTAAGAATCTAATAGAATGCGATCATCCAACAAGTTACTATTAGAATTATATTTTTAATTATTAAGACACATATCACAGAATTATCACAAAAATTTATTTTGTAAAATTCAAAAACTATTTATTATTTATCATTGAAAAATTCAATTTGTAACAATTTCACGAACCACTTATTTCCTCCTTTATGAAATGATGCAAATTTTTTTAATTATATACCATCATTTCACACCCCTTCTAGTTTACTATATTCAAGAACACTCTCTCTATTTTCTAAATCTTCTCTAACACTCCTATCAGATTAAAAATATTAATTAAAATACAATTTTACTAAATTGTCATGATATATTTGAAGAAAAATTTCATTCACACCCCCTCTAGATAAACATATCTTCAATAAGACCTCTCTATTGTTTAATTTTTTATGAATTAAAATTCAGACCAATTAAAATTTGAATCGAGTTAATTAAAATTTATTTTGTTTGTATTAAAATTTCAGTCAATTAAAAATTATATTTTTTTTACGTATTAAAATTTGAATTAATTAAAATTCTATTCGAACAGATTAAAAATCAATTCGAATCAAAATCAAAAAAATATAAATTTTAATCAATTCAAATTTTAATACGTAAAAAAATAAATTTTAATCAACTTGAATCAAATTCTAATTGGCATAAATTTTAATAAGTAAAAAAAATATAAATTTTAATCGACTCGAAGTAAATTTTAATCGGCACTAATAGATCAAGTAGAGCTCAAATTGGCTCGAATTTTAACAATAAACAAACTAAAATTTAATCAGCTCGAATCGAATTGTAATCGGTTTAAATTTTAATATGTAAAAAAATAAATTTTAAATAGCTTGGATTTTAATATGTGGAAAAATAAATTTTAATCGGTTCGAATTTTAAACGTATTTTATATAAAAAAATTGTTTAGGATTTATATAAGAGTAATTTTGGTATGTTACATGAATTTGTTTTTGTTATAAATGATGGTTTAATGGCAGAAGGTGTCAGTGATGTTTAAATATGAACTAGAATGGGTGTTAGTGATGCTATATTGATAATAGAGGGATATCTTTGAAGATAAAATAAACTAGAAAGAGTGTGATCGGAAATTTTCCTTAATTTTATAAAACATTTCCTTCTTTTTCGGTTGGTCTTCAAATTTGCAAATGTAGTTCTGGAGTAAATATTGAATGCAAATGTGATACCACGTTAGTAATTCTGTAGTGGTATCACCAATCAATAATAAAACACCGAGTGGATAAAGTAACCCCACTTGGATAGTCATTTGCTGACATGGAAGAAAAGTGATAGTTATTTGCTTCTAGGAAGGATTGATTATTAATTTTAGTGGGGTTCATTTACTTATTTGTTTTGATATTATTATTTGGTGATACCACGTCAGCATTGGCACGTGGTATAACTATTTGTCACTGCTAATATTCATATAAATTGCTTTTGCAAAAAATAGTCACAATTATTTTAGAAAAATTGTCAAACATTACATAACTAAAAAATTTCATGTTAAAATTTTTTCATCCAGAGCCTGGTGAAGCTTTTAATTTCAGTTACTCGGGCAATACGGGTCCTAACAAATGGGGAAACCTGAATCCGAAGTTCTCAGCATGTTCACATGGAAAACTGCAGTCTCCCATAGACATTGTGAAGGAGAAGGCTGTTCTTAATAAGAAGCTAAAGCCTTTAACCAGAAGATACTATCCTGCAAATGTTACTTTGGTTGACAATGGCTTCAATGTTGAGGTTTGTTCTTGCTCTTTCCTACTATATTTTACTTTATTTGTTGATTAAATCTAAAACAAATTGATTCGAGAGAGAAAACAAAAGACAAACAGCAAAAAAGTAAATTAATGTAGCTCAGATAAAAAACCTGCGTTCGCGACATACAAAATTAAAAAGAATTACAATTGTTGTGCTCGCTTTATTGTCTACGTAAGTGAATCAAACATGCACACATCTATATAATATTACGGCTTAAAATTAAATTCTCAACTTATGAAAGCACAACAATGACCAAGATTAAACCAATCTTCATATATTTCAATTTAATAATATGAAATTCATCCTAAAAAATTTTGTCTCGCTCAAAAAATATTAATTTCTCTACACGGCTCTAAATGTCAGACAACTCAATCAACATATTTTCCAATGTCTGACAATCCCTTTAATTCACATTTTAAAATACGTAATTAAAAAAACTAAATTACTATTTAAAATATTATAAGATTAATTCGATTTTGATATTGTATAATGTCTTTAGATATGGTATTATTGCTATACATATCTATACTACTAATTAAACTATCTTAACATTAAAACTTTTGAATTATTATTTTACCTTTACAAAAAAGTTGCAAACGTCAATCTATCCTTACATAATTAAATATTTAAAATACTATCACATCATTACCTATTTAAATCTCTAAATTACTTCTAACATCTCTTGTAGTGATCATTCTCCATGTATAAATATATGTTTTTGTATAAAAAAAAAAATTGATCGACTATATTACCCTTAGAATTATGTGTATCATTAAAATTTTCAATAAAGTGTTCAAAAATTTCATCAATTTAATATTACTCATTTTATATACAAAGATAGCATGCATTGTGCCGACAGACACACTCACACACACATATAATCATATATATAATTTTTATGACCCTTTCATTTTTATGAAAAAAATAATCATATATATAATTTTTTAAAATTAATTATATTAAATCAACATAATTCTTCAGTTATAGTAAAATTTTCAAATCGTATTAAGATTTTGTGTAAAAATAGATTGTAATGTATTTTTAATATGCTTTATAATATATAGTATATAATAGTATCTTAACTTTTATCCGAATATACACTTTTTTTTATCTGAATATACATAACTAATTCTTAATTAAAGTAAAGTTCCAAATATGATATACTATTATTTTTATTGTATTCAAGGAATTGTAAGTGGAATCCTAACCAAATGAATTTGAAAAAAAATTATTTTTCAAACTTCATTAAAAATTTCTCTCAATCACAAAATTCTAAAAAAATCGAACTCTAACTATTTTTTATTCTTTTTTCTTATAATTAGAACAATAAATCTTGGGAACTTACAAAATTTTTATAATTATATAATAAAGTATGAGTAATGAAAAAATAAGTTTGATAAATATAAAATAATATATAATTCAGGAATACATATATCTAACACTTTTTATTAATTTTTGTTTATACAAACTATTCAAGCTAGATATAGGGTGATAAAGCATTCTATAAAGGAAACGAATCAATCAATGAAGGGTCTGATAAAAAAAAAATCAATGAAGGGTAAATTATACTCTGACCCCCAAAACTATAGACTAAATTTTAGTTTTCCCATTGAACTATTGTTTTTTTTATATTATCCACTCAACTATTTAAATTACTTCACACTTCTCCAATTGAAAATGTCTGCTATCTTTTTGGATAAAATTGTCAATGTGTTGAAGCAAAGAGAAAAACTTTACATAATTCGGGAATAAAATGAAACAAATTTTCATTAAATATCCAACGGAAGTTATAATTATGGCGCTGTGAAACTAATTAGTTGTGGGTAAAAAAACATGATAGTCGAGAAGGCAATGTGACAAAAGTTCATAGTTGAAGGGTCAAAATGTAATTTTTCCATCAAAAAATTAACATTAATTGAGCAAATCAGGAATTGCTCACTCCACCAATCTTTCGATTTGATTTGTAATCTTGTTTTTAAGTTTGGAGCATCTGAAACCACACTGCTATTGACCTTTCCTAAAATCTTTTGGTTCATTTAAGAAAAAGTCTGTGAATCTAAATGCACATGACTGGTTTGGTGTTGAGTCAATTTATCTGACAATCCCAGTGGTCCAATGCATACATTCTTTAATGAAAAATACTATACTTATTAAATCATCCCTCTCAAATAATGTGGTACAATTTTCATCATTAAATATTAATGGGACCCACTTATCTGATAGTAAAAAATTGTATCGCGTCATTTGGGATGAAAATTTATTAGGTAAACACGTTATTACCTTTCTTTAATTGACTGGGGATAATGTAGTATTACATAATGCACAAGACCCTTTTATCAACATAGCCCAAGATGGACAGGGATTTTCTGCAGTACTACAGGAGCGTTGTTCCTTTAAATGAAATCGTTATATACATAAAACGACATTATTTAATGTGTAAAACGACGTCATTTAAGGGAACAACACCTCCTGCAGTACTGCAGAGGAGCTTTACTTGCCCCTGACTATGCCTCAAAAAGGGCAAAAAAAAGTCTGGGATTTTTTTTCCCCAAAAAATAAAGGTGCAGGATTCAACACCCTTAAAATAAAAATAAAATTATCTATCACTTACTTTTTTGCAAATATCGTTGTGGATGAAAGTCTTGTGGGATCATGCTATATTCAACATAGTACTTCATGAGATGTGGGATAGTTGTCATAATGCTTTTCTTTCAAAAACTAAGTAAAGATAGAGAAAAAGAGAAAGAAAAAAAATAATGTTTAGTAGTAATGATAGAGATGGGTGGTGGAGTGAGTGTGTACAACAGTTTTCCTTACAATGTATGATTGATCCATACTCGTAGGTGCATTATGGGAAAAATGTAGGAGTGTTGATTGTAGATGGTAAGAATTACACCTTGAAGCAAATGCACTGGCATTCTCCCTCTGAGCACCGCATCAATGGCGTCCAGTATGCCCTCTCTCTCTCTCTCTCTCTCTCTCTCTCTCTGATATTTTGTTATGAACGAGAAAGGGAGGTTCGGGATGGTTGTTATCGGAACCGAATGAACTTTCCCGTGGAAAAGAAGACATAGAACATAATTAGTCAAAACAATGTGGTGACCGAAAAAAGACCGATTATGAGTTCACCCTCACTACTACCTGGGATGGTCCGGGCCAATCCATTTGAAAAAGGCCTGCCATCAGTCGAGTCTTAATGGTCCCCCATGTTTTCAATTTTTACTATTCTTTCAAAATTTGACAATCCGGTCTGGGCCTACCCATGGGCTAAAAACCACCTAGTGTCGATAGGGCCAATTGGGCTTTGAGCCCAATTTATGGGCCACGAGCCGAAAACCGAGCCTTAACATCACCAAAAATACCCTGCTCAAAGCCTAGATTAATTCTCATTTGTTAATTGCAGGTATGATGCAGAGCTCCATCTAGTCCACATGGCAGATGATGGCAACTTCTCAGTTGTGGCAATCCTCTACCGGTTAGGCCATGCTGATCCCATCGTTGCTCAGGTAATGTTAGCCATTACACACTCATAGCTTAGTTGCAGTTTTTAGCGACATAACTCCACCTACGTGACCCTGTCAGATGGTGTACATAACTAATGAAATATTGTATATTCCCAATAAATTATTATAACCAGTCAATTTGTCAGAATTTTTTAAAAAAAAGTTGACTTGTGTGTCTGATATAATAATTTAGGTGTGTATACAACACATAATCCTATCACGTGGTGTGTTTAACTCCTATAAAAATTTCTCAATATTTTTTTGCTAACTTTATCTATTGCATTTTTATTTGTACATTACCTTTGCTAGGGTATGGCCAACTCAAGATATGAACCATCTCCTAGCATTAAGACCCACCCGTGGCCTATTGGTTGGCCCAAATCTTGTATTCTATGAGTGACCCATTAGCCCGACATACAGCGTGGTGGGTTGTCCTTTGCGTGGAAGGGTTGGATCAGCCCATTGGCCAGTCCACACCACGACTACCTGATCCATAGGCGGGCACGGTCCTTTGACTTGTGGGTTAGCTCGGATTGGCGCTTACTCCTGCCTGATGTGATGATTGGAGTCAATAGTCGAATGGGTTCGAACTGAGTCCAAAAAACTAGATTTTTTAGTTGAATTTAAAAAATTGTTCAATTTTGGAACCTAAATGAGTTCAAAATAAACTGAGTTTGAGTATTTGCACATTAACGAATAAAGCCTGTCGAGTTCATTTTCCAAACAAATCTAAAAAATTATTCAAAGTTCGACTCGTTTTTTAAATGAATTGAACTTGAACGAGCCTAACTTGAGAAGGTCAATTTGATTACTAGTCCTAGTAATGGTATATAAGATAAGAGATTCAAAACACAAGGCTTGATTGAAATTAAAAAGAAAAAAAGAAGAAGAAAAAACCAAGAAAATTGTCTCAACAAGAACACACCTTTTAGACCGATTAAACTGTAAAATTTAGATGCCCACAAACTACATACATCAATTCGGGTTTTTGTGCTGCCATATGCATGCATCGGTTATAATTTCAAAACGAAAGTAGTCGTAAAAAAGTTAGGAATTTGTGACACTACTTTTTAATGGCTACAGATACAGAAAAAATTAGATGAGTTGGAGAACGAAGTGCGCGCAGGTCATGGAGACGCTCATATTGTTCTAGGGACCGTTAACACAAAGAAATTAATGCGAAGGACCCGAAAGTACTACAGATATGTTGGCTCTCTCACCACACCTCCATGCTCCCAAAATGTCATCTGGCACATACTTGGCAAGGTAACTCTTACATTCACTTATACCTCCATACATTCATACATATAAAGATAGATGCATATTTCATTGCTCAATCTCAGCTCGATTTTTACATACATATGCTAAAGTTTTGGCTTGAATTGACTTGTTTTGCACTATGAGCTTGAATTTAGTTTCGAACTCGGGTAAATTCAAACAATACACACATTAAATGAGACTCGGACCCATATTAGGTTATTGATTAGACTAAAGATGGTACTTTGTTATTTCTTCACAAGAAAAAGAAAAAGTTAAATGAAACATAAAAAGCAAAGGTAAATTACCTCCACCTTTCGTGAGATTTTTGGTCAAATAACAACTAGACCCGTCTTTGTTTGGAAAATAACACTGTCATGGAGGAGCTGAATTGATGGAGCTGCTGGGTAGGGAGGGTCTTCATCCCGTTGATGAATTGATGAGGGGAAGAGAGAGTGGCGGAGGCTGTTGAAAGAGAGTAATAAATAATGGATTTGTTTGGAAACAAGTATAATTTGTATATAACATGATAGGATTTGTTTGGCAACCTGTTTGAATGTCTATCTATATTTATTGGGGTAGAATTGGTATTTTGAAATTATAAATGACTTACATCATCAAACTATTTACAAATTCCTAACGAAAGACTAATAGCAGGGAATTATATTACCGACACCCAAAGCAAAAAAGAGTGCAGTGTTATTTTTCAAACAAGAGGAAGTTTAGTTAGGTGTTATTTGACCGAACCTCATAGGAGGTAAATGTAATTTATCCTAAAAACAAATTAAGCTTAGACCTACCCTACCCAGACCTCCCTTAACCAACCAAGCGGTATATCGATGAGAATCAACCTGAATGTTAAATGAGCTTAAAATTTTAATTACATCATATTCATTTAACAAGCAAAAATCGAGTCGAGCCCAAAAAATTTAGCTCTTTTAACAGCCATAGTTAATTATAAGCATTTGTTACCATTTGCAACTCTGTTTTTTATTTGGGAATGATGGAGTTTATAGTATTGGTTCATAAAATATAGGTGAGATCAATATCGAAAGAGCAAGTAAAGGCTTTGAAGGCTCCACTTAAATCGACATGCAAGAACAATTCGAGGCCGGTGCAAGCACTCAATGGACGACAAATTGAGCTTTATGATGAGCTTCATTAGTTAAAACCAATATTATTATCGTTATCTTAAATAATAAGTTATGATCAATGACAAAAACAGAAGAGTTGTGCCAATGAACAATATGTTCTTACTTGATTACTATTGTAAAAATTTACATTTTCTACTTAATGGGTTTCTCATTGAGAGTGTTATGTTCGATAAGGTCCGAAACACAATTCGTACCCAATACAACACAACACAAACTTGACAATGATAAGATCTAATAACATGAATTATAAAAGAATGAGGTTAATGTTAAACACAGCATAAGTTGATTTTGACGTCATAAACACGTTTAACCGGCATTGTATGATTTTATTTCTTGAACTAGTATTCTATGGATTGTTGTAGAATTGCTATTCTTTTTTTATTTGGTTTTGCTAGGAAATGGATCGAGTAGATTTTAATTTATGGAGAACACTTATGTGGTGAATTTGGTTAAGGGAGGGAATTCTAATATTGGGATTTCACCCATGGTCATTTGGTCTAATAGTATTCTTTACCTTGTAAAAATTTTGTCTTCTTGAGGTCAATGGTTCAAAACTCCTTTTCCCTGCCCCTCCAAAAAAAGAAATAAAAATAAAAATATTAGGATTTTAGATTTATAGTTACTTGTAATCAACATAACTTGAATACAATGCAAACTTGATATGACATAGACACAACCCTACTCATACAATCAACTTCAATCTTTTCTCCAAACACGAGTCCAACAAACATGAAAATAATAAATAAATAAAAAAAAATAATAAACAAAATTAATTTATGGAATGAAAAAAATTTAATATAGGCTTCATATTTTTCAGGAAAAAAAAATGGAAATTGAAGCAATTATCAGCTAATACCTTAAACATAGAGATACACACACATCAGTATAATTCAATTAGCATTCTGGAAAGCTTGCAAAAACTTTTAAAGCTCACAATATAATAGATGGATCTGGAACTCCTCTTCCTCTCATGTAATTTTTCTTATTAATAAATGATTTATTGAATAAAAGTATATCTAATGAGATCAAAGTTTGACTTTATATGTCCCATGTTAAATATATGTGATTGAAGTGGGTGAGAGTTAGAGCTGCAAAATGTAAAGAACTTTCAACCTAGTCAAGGAAAGTATCCTCTGAAGCTAAAGGCAGAAAGATGATATTAACATGACAATTAGAGGTGTTTGACACTTCAAACTGGTTTGGGTCCACTACAAAAACGAAGGATACAAAATAACAAATAGAGCAAAAAAGTTGGGGAAAGAGGCTTAAAGATGGAGTCATGAAGATAGTCTCATCTTCTAATTTGCTTCCAACCAACTTTTACTATCATCACTCGCTAACGGTGGATGATTTTTTGAAACAAAAATTGAAGAAAAAAAATATTGGAAAATATTTAGAGTCAGTATTTCTATATTAATCTAACGATAATTGAAAACCAAGATGCCCACTTTTAATTTTTTTTTAAAAAGTGTAAATGATGAATCAGCATTGGGTGTAATGGTTATACCATATCAATATTGTCATTTTCACAACAAAATTAACGGCCATGACACGACTTATGCCTTTTTTTGTCTTTAGTCCCAAGCGTTTTTTTCTTTTCTTTTTTTTTTTGTCGAAAGCCCCGATCGTTTGGCTCGCACAATAATAAATAAATAAGTGGATAAGTGAACTTCGCTTTTCGTACATGTTACGGTTACTATCTTAGGGGTGTTTATTTGAATGAATGGGGTGTATTTTGACTAATTTTTGAGTTATTATTCTGTGACAATACTGACAATGTATAACCGTTATATCTAATATTTTCATGAAAAGAAGTGTAATTATTTTCACTAAAAACAGAAAATGATGAGAAATATTTGAACATGCTCATTCCAAAAAAACACTCGCATATTTACATTAACTACTTGATTAAGATGTAAGAAGTCCCACAAATCATACTAGTTTTCTAAGGCCTAAAAATAACTGTAAAAACTGTCGCTTTACCTTGAACAGAAAGGGCGGGACTCATTATTCGACGGGACACCCCTGTAATCAACTTCCTCCGCTGGCCCACTAGTCCTCTTCTCCGAAAGTCACGTGGAATAGGACATTGCCACGTCAATGGCCTCGGTTCCATGATTCCGATCTCCGACCAGACGAGAACCGTGCCATCCCCCCCAAACCGGGAGGTTCTGCCACCGGTTCAATACTCGCTTTCACGGTGACGCTCCTTCTCGACGGCGATTCAACCGTTTGCTCCTTGGTTTCGAATCCCGGTTGGATCGCTGTTTCTCTGCGCCTTTTGGGCCTGAAAATTGCAATTAAACGTGAGCAAAAACCAGTTTTCCGACGATCATTACCGATTGTTGATTGTTCAGCCGGTTCTTCGTCCTTTTTCGTCGATTCTGATGACCTCCGGAGACCTCTCTTTGATCTCACTCTTCCCATGCAAGAAACCTTCGGAGACGACGGTTCAGTCACCGAAACAGCCGATTTTCCAATTGACTCAGACTGTTTTGGAAACAGTCTGATATTCGCCTGTTTGCTGGTCCTCCTCTTGGCATCCACATAAGTAGCCTTTGGAGTTTTCGGCAATGCAAGAAAGGAAGCCTTTGACTTCAGATTCAGCGGAAATCCCTGAGAATTCGAATTAGAACTCGGACTCGCATTCGAATTCAAGTTTGTCGAATTATTCGAGTTTCCTTTGGTTGATTCCTTTCGCTCATAGAAAGCGTTTCGATCGAACCAGTCTAGTTCGGCGTCTTTGGAGAGACAGTATGATTCTGGCGGGAAATCTGGAGGAACGTCGGCGGGATGTTCAGTGTGTTCCGTCGTCTCGTCGGTGAGAGTCTCGCAGGCAATTTTGCCGTCGATGTCGCCGCCTCCGCAAACCGGAACTAGTATTTCTAGATCAACTTGAGGCATTTTAAGGTGTGTGTGTGTGAGAGAGAGAGAGAGGGAGAGAGAGAGAGAGTGGAGAAGATCTCTCCCTGGAGAAAATGGTGGTTGGAGAGGAAGACTTTTAAAGCCACTCTGTCTACCAGGAAGGGAAGGGTAAATTACTCTCAGGGCTGGTACAAGGGTGTGGATGCATCGTGAGATTAGATCGTGAGATTAGTCGAGATGTTTATAACTTCATTAGATAATTTTAATTATAATATAAAAAAATTAAAGTTTTATAACCTATGCATTTTAAATTATATTTCACATTTTCAATAATTTATTCTTATTTACATCATATTATCCCTTTTTAATAAATATTTTAAGCTAAAAAAGACATAATGTCTTCTCTAAACGATAGCGAAATTCTATAATTAGGATAAAATGAAATCAATAATCATATCAAATAAGAAATATGAGAAACAAATCAGCTAAGAGTGAAAAAAATTTTCAGTACATCATCGTTTCTTTTTTGAAAAATATATATTTGAAAATTAGAAAAATATTCAAGTGATTTCCCTATTTAATTACTCTTTATATATTGAACGTGTAAATATGAGTGAGTGACACTCATTAATTCAATCAACTACATTGATTTGGTATACAAAACTTAGTAAATAATTTGGTAAACATAGTAATGCTCAAATTACTAGAATGACCATGTTCTTAACGTTTCTTGAAAAAGAAATATACTTATTAAATTTTAAGATGTTTGGCATATGACCCTTAATTATCATTACAATTTTTTTTTTTTGGCTTATGCTTAAGTGGGAAATAAAAATTTGAATTTTCTCTAATATTTTTTATCTATTTTTTTCTTAATAATAGATCACATTGCATGAATTCAGCTGTAATCTAACATTTACAAGTGATCCCTACCATCCATGATGTCAATCTATTAGACTTTATTTGAAATGTGAATTGACAAGTAAAATATGTTGGCTAATTATCATTTGGTAATGATTTATATCAATCGTTCAAAAGTGCATTGGCCTTACTTTTTCCCTTATAAAATTTATGATTAAATGTATCTGTTTCAAAATTCAAAAAATGAACCCTAATGGGGTCCATAAATAAAGTTATATATATCCTTTTTAATAGAGTTATATATTAAAATTTTATTTTTTGTTGTGAAACTCGTTTTATTAATTAGTAAAAATTTGTTCTTTATATTTTATTAACAATTTATGGGAGTAAAATGTTTACATTATATTTAATATATGGTATGCACGTGGTTTTTATATTTTATATTATAGATAATCTGGTGTAGAGTTTTGCTTATGTATAGAATACCAGATTATCGAATCTTTGCATAATATGAATAAATGTTCACAATCCTAAATGAAATTGGATACACCATAAGTATAATTGAAATATAATATTCTGACATAGATTGTCTTGACTGTAGGAGACTGTTTGATGTCTCGAATTATTGCACTAATACACTTTGTGTATTGAACAGACTCATGTTGAGGTTATTATCTTTTACTAATTTAAAAAAAAAAAATATCTCATGATTATTATGATTATTTATACTCTTAATCCCGAAATATCTAACCATCACGTGCATATAATGATTATCACTTTAATTTATCAAAGAATGAGATTCATATTGAGTCAATAAGCTCGGTGAATTGGGAGACGATGTTATTTGTATGGTATCAAGATTAATTGGGTCTATTTCAATATAATTGCACGCAATTTCACTTAATAACAGATTATTTATCATGAATTGATATTACACCCTATATGTGTATGTGTGTCTTGTACTAATACACAACTTGTGATCGAGATTTCTACCAAAATTTATTTACCTTGAACATATTTGATAAATTTTGTCCAAAGGATCTCCTTTGAATTTGTTTTTATTTTTTTATTTTGTTAAGATCAGGGATGTTTGAATTAGTTTACCTTTTATCTCAACTAATTTTTTCTTCAATCTAATAAAAAATAGACAATCTACTTCAGAATTAGAGTATTCATATAATTGGAGGTTATTCATAGTCAATAATTTATGTAACAAAAGAGATTTTTCAAACCTTAATGATTGGCCCTTTCCTTAAATCCATTGTTTTTGGCCTCTATATTGAGAACATTTCAATACGCTTACAATTGCTAACAATAATTTACAATAATTGTAAGATCAAAAAATATATTTTTCAAAATCGAAATCATATAATCCTAAAAAAATTGTTTCCCAAGGTTCAAAGTTCTCACATATTATTTGCAGGGGATGATTTCTGCAATAGTTCAAGATAACGACCTCCAAGCTAGCAAACTTGAGACAACAGGGTCAGAAAAAGGGGGTCAGGTGAATACCCGGCTTATCCCCTCTAAAGCTTAAGTCAGTCTAAGATCGAATGTTTTAGCTCAATGAATAATCTTTTTCTGGTTCAAGTTTGCATACCTTTGTCCATTTTTCTGAGAAGTATTTATACATGAATTAGCAGTGATTGCCTAAGACCTTCAGTCCCATCTAGACATTTAATGTCTGACATGTCATCCCTCACGCAATGAGTGTTCTCCACTCACGTCTCCTCCTATTAAATGCTAGGATGATGGGGCGAGTGCTCGGCCAAATGCAGAGCATTTATGCCCCTTCCCCCCGAGTATCCACATCCCTCAGATCGGCATTTGACTTCGGCAACTGAGCATTGAATACTCAGGGGGAATAGTTCCTCGGGGAGAGCCGATCGTATCATCTCGGCGTATCAGTCATTAACGTCTAGCCATCATGACAGTAGGCTTAGACTTCCAGAGTGCTGGTGCACATTTATTAGCCTTGTCACCATCACTCATTCCGCTATAAATAAGGGGTCACGTTGTATTAAATACGATATCAGCTATCGTACTCGGCTCCTCCGGGTCACCATATCTCGGCTTACCTCCTCGGTGCCTGTTGGACATCACAATGGCTTCATTATTCCACGTGTCAATCTGGGGGTTATAGAGCCACCTAGAGTCCCGCCAACTGCCCCTAGCCTCCATTCTTTTCGCAACGTGAGACAAGTGGCGCAAAGGGATTAGAGGCTCAATCATCACGTCTCATTAACAGTGACGGTTACTTGCACATCTGACGCCGCCCTTTTCAAATACTGTAAAGATGACCTAACTTTTTGATTCCCACCCCTTTGCAAAGCAGTATAAATAGGAGGTGCTCATGTCTTCTCAGAACTTTTGCATCCTCATCCTTCCTTCAGCAATCAGCCCCCGAGCACTTTCCTGTTCTCCAAGTTTCCTTCATTCACCGACCTCCCTCTTTGAAGGCTATCTTCCTGTAAGTACCTCCTTTTGAGCTTTTTCTTTCTTCATTTCCTCTACATTTCTTCCTTTTAGTGCCCACTAATGGCCAGAACTAGTAGAACCAGGGGGTAGGCATCCGTTAGGGCTAGGGCTAACCCTAAGTTAAGGAGAACCCAAGTGACTGACAAGAACATCCAAGCATTCAGGGTTAGGTACCACATCCATGAGTCTATCCTTGCCTTCCCTTTTAACCCCACTCACCATAGGAGGGATATGAGAAGTGTAGATATGATGCCTTTCTGGACCAAGGCTATCATGGAAGGGGGGTTGACCTTCCCTCTCCATACCCTGTTGCTGCGAATGTTGATGCAACTGAAGCTCTTTCCTCTTCAATGCGAGGTTAATTTTTTTAGGATTGTGATGGGAGTAGTTGCCTTAAATGCTCGACTAAGGATCGACTTAGGAGTAGATGAAATTTTGTTCTACTATGACATGAGGTTAGTCGTCAGGGGAAGATACTACCTCCAGGCTCGAGATACTTCGATGTATCTGGTAACTCATATGTCTGACTCAGACAAGGGTATGTAGACGATCTGATCATGCTCAGCAGCAGTTGGGAGAAGGGACCAAGGCCCGAGTATGTCGGATTGTATTGCCCCAAAGTGCCGAGCGATGAAGGTGTGTCTTTTTCCTAGACTTGTACTGATTTTACTATCTTTGGACCTGACCTCAGCTATTTGCTTTTGCAGAAGGATATCGTCAGGACGCTGCTCAACCCTTGAGGTCCCAAGTCCGATTTGTCGATCTCCTAAGGGTTTGGTCCTACGACCAATCGAGCGAGCGACGCACACCCTTCTCGACTACACGCCGACATACAGCCGATTCTCTCAGATCCCCCCCTCCCTTTAACCCTTCCCTTTGGGAAGACCGTTCTTCGTCGAAAGAGAAAGAATCCGAGGAATATTTTGAGGAAGAGTCTGAACATCCTCTCGAGCCCCTGCCGTTTGAAGAAATGTTCAACCCACCGCTGGTCACCATTGCCACCATGGAGGCCGCCGCTGCGGCAAGGAAAGCCAAGCTCGTTGGGTTAGCCGGGCCTTCCAACACGGCCCTAATCATTCCCCCGCCAAGTTCTCCTCAGCGGCAACCACCCCCGTCGTCGCCCCGTCCTCAACCTTCTAGGGACCCAGTCGCGCCGACCAGGCAAAGGCCCCCATCTTAGGTCCCCACTCCTGGAGACCGGCCAAGGGATCAGCGTGCCCGCGAGGCCAAACAATCTAAAGAATGCCAAGCAAAACGACGGCATGATGCCTCGGGCCCGTCTGTCTCTGGCGAGTGGGTCCCTTGAGCCGAGACTAGGAATGGTCGCCTATCTTGGAAGCTGACTGCATCCTCCAGTCCCCCGAGGTGGCATTTGTCGTTGTGGGGACTTTTCAATTTGAAGCCGATATGGCCGTATACAAAGGCTATTCAGACAATCAGCTTCTGATGAGCACTATCCAAAATAACTTGGTGGTAAGTATAACGTTTTCCTGAGTATTTCCTGCATAATTTTGGGAATACAAACAAGAGGCGAAGAACGCCGAGCGAGCCCTGGCTGCTAAGGATGAACACATCCTCAAGGTCAAGAGGACCCTCGGCCACCAGACCAAGCACATTGTCGAGCTCATCCGTCAGCAAGACGCCCTTAATGCAGATTTGGAAAAGACGAGGGCAGGTGAAGCTGCGATGGTCAAGAATGTTAAAGAGTATGAACTGCGAGTCTCCTCCTCCAAGGTCAAGCTGCAAGAGTCCAAGTCCGTCATAAACGATCTTACTGCCAATGT